CTGGATTGTGGGGCTGTGGGAGGACAGAGTATTCAGAGAGCTTTCCGTGGAGGGACAGAGTGTCTTTAATTACTGTTTTATTGCCGTGAAGAGACACGGTGACAAAGGTGACTCAAAGAAGAAAGCATTTAATTGGAGGGTTGGTTATAGTTTCAGAGGGTGAGTCCATGAACATGGCGGGGAGCACAGCGCCAGGCAGGCATGGCATGGCATGGCGTGGCACAGGAGTGGCAGCTGAGAGCTACATCCTGATCTGTAGGCAGGAAGCAGAGAGAGAGAGAGAGAGAAAGACTGGGTCTGGATTGGCATTTTCAAACCTCACCTTCTCCAACAAGGCCAAACTTCCTAAGCCTTCAACAGCCCACCAACTTCGGTGGTTTGGAGGGAACCAGACATTCAAATACATGAGCATATGGGGTCATTCTTCTTCAAACCAGCACATAAATAGCATGGCCTGGAGCCCTGTTAGGTATGTTAGCAGGAACCACAGGGCTGGCAGGACCCAGGAAGGGTCTTGGTTGGTAAGACCTGGTTGTGGTAGGGATGTGCTTATGGTCATCAGAAGGCCCATGGCAGGGGTCAACCTCAGGCCCAGGGTTCAGTGGGACAAAACTGGCTCTGTGGAGCTACAAGTCCTGCAAGCCAGGGCCGGTGACCCTGTGTGTCTGAACAAGAGACGTCTTGAAGACAGGTGGCTGAGGACGCTAGGCCAGGAATCCAAAGACATGCAGGGGCATAGGCATATATCAAAGGGGGAGCCTCGGACGAGACCAGAGCAGCCACCTCTGCCTGGCCTGGGCCTCCTGAAAGCTCCTTAACCAGCCATGGGACAAGCCTGAGGTGGGTAGAGCAAAGCGCTCCCATGTCCTGCACTGCAGCAGCTGCCACCACAGTCACAGCCTAAGCATGCTACACATACTGACCATGCAGAGACCACATTCTGGTCTTATCGTTTGTTTAAAATGTCCTGTTAGTATCCATTTGTGCCCAGGACAGAGCACAAGGTCCCTGCCATTGGTTTAGTTGGGGACGCTGGGGATCAAAAAGGGAGCTTGCATATGCTAGGCAAGTGTTCTATCACCGAGTTACACCTCTACTTCAGATAACAGAGGACACACCACTCCACACAGGACCACACCGGGAGCACCAGGGCGAGGCACTGGCAGAGGGAGTGAGGGGAAAGCAAAGATCTGGGGGCCTCCACAGGAAGGGATAGGTCAGGCAGGTGAGAGGTGGAGGATCGTCCAGCATGGATGCCAGACTCACGTCTGTGTCCTAGCTCCTGCCTTTGAAGTGACTGGAGCGGGTGGAGAGATGGTGGTCCAGAGTGCGGGGAAAGGGGTAGTGATGGGCACTGCACATAGTGTCCCCTGCCAGTTCAGGGCCTGCCTTGGAAGATAAGCACCTGTGCAGAGCCGGCAAAGCCCCAGCACAGAGGGTCAGAATAGAGCAAATGGCCAGGTGTGGCACCACAGCATTTCATCCCAGCAAATTGGGACGCAGAGGCAGATAGATCTCTCTTGAGTTTGAGGCCAACTTGGTCTACATAACTAGTTCCAGACCAGCCAGGTAGGTGAGACCCTACCTCAAAGTCAAACCAAAACCACAAACAATACAATACAAAAAATACCAAAAAACAAAACAACAAAAACCACCCTGTCCCCGGAAAGCACTCCCTGAGCTGCTGCTGGCCACTGTCCTTGGTGTTTCAGACAGCAGTAAGTATTTCCACACATTCTAGAAAGGGGCTTCTGAGACCCGAAGGAACCCTGGGAAAACAGCTGGCTGCTTCTGGGCTGCTTGCTTCTCTGGAGAACACAATCCCTGGTCCCGTGGCCCACAAATTCGCCCCTTCACAATATTGAGCAGGCATGGCAGCTAAAGTAACCCAAGAAAACTTAGGGTGCTGCTCTTTCCTGCACCCTGGCCCTCCCCAGAAGCATCTGCCTCTTTGCACGTGTTACACAGTCCTGCCTGCATGTGTGATAGCCACTCCCTACAACTTCAGCTCAGCCTGGGCACCCAAGGGCTTGGCTCAGAGCGGGAGACATCCAGACCCTAGGGAGCCACTGGTCAGCGTGTTACCAAGTGTAGCTGCTGTACTTCCCTCACAGGCCCTGTTTCCCAAGGGCCACGGACCATAGACTGTCCTGAGAGTGGCTGGGCATGCAGAGCTTATAAAGAACAGAAGTAGACATGGGAGACGACACAGGGCCCAACTGGAGCCAGGGACTGGCTCTTTGGGAGGCCAATACAGCAGCTACTTCACACCTCTGGTCTTGGATAGAGCCTAGAGGGACCTCTCAGAAGAGTCCTGTGGGGGAGAGGTTGGTGCTGTCTTTCTGTGTGGTGCTGCTTCTAGGGAAAGGGCTCAGGTCAGTGTCCTGCAGAAGCAGGCAACACAGTGGGTACTGGGCAGACGACCAGCCTGCTCCTCAGAAGTGTCCTCTGGCTCCACGTTCCCATTAGTTATTCCTGGAGGCAGATGACCTGAAGAAAAAAACATAATTCTGATCTTTGGGGTTAGACAAGGCTTGAACCTCTTGCCAACCTGGGGCTCGCTTTCTGGCCTCTACCCAAGATCTACTTGTGTGGGACCTGTCTGCTTCAGGCTGCTCTATGCTGTTCTCAAACCTGGCCTCTCTTTACTGCACCCCTCAAAGCTGACTGGGAACCCAGGAAGGTCTCCCTTCCCCTCTACATACCCACAGTGGCTTCAGATAGCTCCTTTCACTTTCTGAGGGCTCTGGGCCCCTCTGGCCACGTCGAACCCTTTGCCAGCAAGCCTCACCTGCATTGGTTTCCCTTAGAAAGCTGGCTGCTCTGCTGAACAAAGGGGCCTTCCATATGGCCAACTCTGTGGTAAGTCACCCACTCGCTCTGTGGCAGAACAGAACCTGCTCAAACCAAAAGCACGCTTGGGAACAGCTGTTAGAAGACAGAGCTCAAGCTGGCTTTTCTCCCAAGCAAAGCCTAAGAGGTAGGGGAGGCCTAGGCTCTAGCTGGGGAACTGAAGTTTCCCTGCCTGCATGGCTGACTGGACATGTCTTCCAGACACCATTTCCTATTTCTGGCCCCTGTAGACACCAGCAGGTTAGAGGGCAGCTCTGGTTTTCATCATCATCTTCCCCTTCAACAGCCACATTGCCAAAATAGAATTCTGGCACTTCAGGGTCAGCATATGTATAAAGTGTCACCCCATCCTGTGCCTTCTTCCCCCTCTCCCTAGTCCTCAACCTGTGGGTCATAACCCCTTTGGGATTACATAGCAATTTGTAACTGTAGCAAAATTACAGTTAGGAAGTAGCAAGGAAATAATGTTACGGTTGGGGGTCACCGGGACATGAGGAACTGTATTAAAGGGTAGTAGCATTAAGAAGGTTGAGAACAACTGTCCTAGGCGGAGGCAGACAAGAGAGGCGGCACCGTGGTCTGCCCCCAGGAAAGGACAGGCTCAGGGAGAAACATCCCGCTCCATCAGGACTGGAACCCAGGCCCTTTCCTGTCACCAGCCTGTCACTAAGATTTTCAACCAAACAGGGCAGGTACTGGGAGAGTACCCTCATTGTGCTTTGTGAACAAGTAGAGTGGGGTTGGCAGTCTGAAATCTGAGCCAGCCCCTGCCTTCTGTCGAGCAGCATGAATGTGGCTGAGGCCAGAAGAGGGGAGATGAACACGGGGCCGAGACCCCCAGATACGCTTCACTACGGAGCAAGGAAGGCAGAGGTCACCTTGAGGCCAGGCCCTTTGGGGGACCAAGAAGCTGAACGGAGATGGAGACAAGCAGAGCAGCAAATACCTGCCAGCAGCCTCCATGTGGCCTCTTGTGTAACAGCCTGCTGGAGGGAATCCTGCCCGGTGCAGAAAGGATTATCTCCCCAACAATGGCCAAGCTCCAGGAGGGCCATTGCCAGCGGAACAATGTCAAAGGCAGGGTCTCCAAAACTCAGGGCCAGGGCTGCAGCCTCTCCTTCTGGAACCTGAAAGGGCTGGATGGGACAGCTGGGAACTAGACAGCACGCACTTCTTCTCTGGAGGGTCTGTGCCAGAGCCTAGTCTGGGTAGTCACTGCCCGGCCCCCACAGTAATCAAAGAAATGTTCACTCTGGACCCACTTGGCTCCTCCCATCCATTCACAAACCTTGGACAAGAGGATCTGCAGCCTGGAGACCTGGCCTGAGTGAGCCAACTGGTCTCCCTCCCTCCCGGGATGCCCTGCTCTAAGGTGCAGTTGGAGACTAGCAAGCCCCAGACCCGGGTTATGATACTGGGCACTTGCGAAGCTGATACTCGGCACTTGCGAAGCTGTCACTGAGATCCCACCCACCCTGTGCCCCGCAGTTTCCAGGCTCTCAATCACATGCAGCGGAACTCGGACACCGGGTGAAGTCAGCTTCTTGCTTCTCAGTCCTGCCCTTGAGCCTCTCCACTTGGCATGTGATCCTCCAAGGAAGGCAGAAGAGCGTGTCATACGATCCCTAGTTTCTTTCCAGGGCTGCTGGGCGCCAGCCCGTGTCGGACGCCTAAAGAACGCAGTCCCATTGCACAGACTGGACTGCGGGGGCCAGTACCCCGCAGCGTGCTCTCGGTTGCGCTCTAGGACCTGGGAGCGTCGGGCGGGTAGGCGGGGCTCTGCGTTTAGCCCCAGCAGAAGCAGAGGCTCGAGTGCGCGGCCCCGAGAAGGTTTCCCGGCATGCCGCGCGGTCTGCACCCTAGGCCTGTCCGGCCCGTCCGGCCGCCTCGCCCCGCCCTGGCTCACCCCGTCAACCCGGCGACCCGCGCATGGAGGCCGGCTGAGGAGCTCCGCCGCCTCGCTCGGTACGCCGCGGCCTGGGCGAACGGGCGGGCGGGGGCTCCCCGCGCCATGATGGCGCGTGCAAGAGGGCGCGGGCTGCAGGTGGGGACTGCGGAGACTAGGGGCGCGATTCCCATCGGCTCGGGCCGACCGAGGACGGTGTAGATTTTCTAGGGCTCGGGAGTCCCAGAAACAAACCCGGACGCTCAGAAGAGCTCCGCTGGCTTTGGGGTGTCTGCAAGCTTTCGCCCTCCCCAGGCGGAGGGTCTGCAGGCTCGCTAGTCATGTGAGACAGCTGTCCCCGGGCCTCCCTCCCTTGCGTCCCTAGCTCATCTTGCGGTGGCCGTGATGCTGTGGGCAAGATGCCAGCAGGGGCTCTGGCAGAGTGGACGGGTAGCCAGGAGCCGGCAAGGCCCTTACCGTGCATCTCCAGGTGGACAGAAACCAAGTCCCTGGGGCACCTGAAAAGGCTTCTTCATCCGTGGTGTTTCCTCTTCCGGCCCTCAGCTCTGACACACTTGAGTTGAAATATGTCCTGCTGAAGCAGGTTTTCCCGGGTCTGGCAGTGCCCAGGCCTCCAGAAACGGACAAGAGGGAGCCAGGTCTTTTGCAGACGCTGTTATTTCTTTCTGTCTTGCTTTTCTGAGTAGGCAATAAAGGCTTGTCTAGATTTTCTTGTTGGTCGTGGTCAGCTTTTGACCAGTGGTAGGAAGCCAGGCTGCCATCTGAGAAACAGTTGGTTTATTTTAGAGAGTGACCAGCATGATGGGTGTGTCAGCTCAGGATGGTGGACTGAGGAATTTAACCAAACGTTTATTCCTTGGCTGGGAGTCCAAGGTCGAATGGCTAGTTTTTGGGGTTGCTTGATGATGGCTCTGCCTGTCCTGTCACCCTTTCTCATTGTGTCCTCATAGCTGTTTAGGGTCTTTTATAAGGACACCAATCCCATCATGGGGCCTGCCTTATGACCTCACCTGAGTTCAGTCACCTCTTAAAACATCTGCCTATTGATGTAATTGCTTTGAGGCATAGATTTTCCATATGTGAATTTGAATAGGACACGGTATTAATAGGATCCAGAAGAGAAACAGCTGTGGTCTGGGCAGGTGGGGAGCATGTCTGAATGGCTCTGGATCCAGTGCTGAACTGTGGTTACACTGACCTATAGTATACCAGGGCTGCAGCTCCCTGTGGACCCTGACATAAATGAGCCTTTCCTGCCCTTTGAGCCATGCTTTCTCTCCTAAAGCCACAGACTGCTGGGAATTTTCGGAGGCCTAAGGCTAGTTCTGGAAATTTAGCAGATGCTAAAAGTTCTGGTGTTTAGCATCTTGCGTGGTTGGTAACAGGCCTGGAAAAGTCGTGCTCAGGAAGGGATTGCTGTTTGGAGGCCTGTTTGACCGAAATTCCAGCTCTCTGACTTTATACCGAGAAAGTTTGACAGTGGGGTCTTGGCCGGGAACAGGTCTGTCAACCGTTGGCTAACTCCTAGGGACTTAGGAAAAGATTTGATCCCTGGGGTAGCTGGGCAATAGGAGGTGACTTGCGGCTTGAATGTGTCTGAAAAGGACACGTGGCAGGCGTGGTACTGCAGGTACAGTGCTAGGTGCCTGGGTGAGTGAGCATGGAAGTGGAGGTCTGCCTCAATTGTTCAGCCAGAAATAACGAGCAGGGTGAGGAGGTATCCGCAACCTAATGGAACTGCATCTGAGAGGCGGGAAATCAGAGGCATGGATTTGATGGTGCCAGGGACTCAGAATCACAGACTTCTGGCTGGAGGATGGGGGAGGATAGGGGCTGTCAGTGGCCTTGCCTGACTTCCCCTCCCTACTGGCACCGAGGCTCTGTATCCCAGGCCTGAGAACCACTAGGGGTCCTGGTGCTGTGTGTGGGTGTCTGATGATCAAAGGGCTCAGAATTTAGCTTCTGACAAGCCTGTGGGTTCCTTCACCTACCAATCCTGGAAATGAGGCCAGCCCTGCTGTGAACCAGCCAGGGAGTCTCCAAGGCTGTCTGGAGCCAGGGTTCCAGCTTTGGTTGCCTCCATACCTCTGAAAGGCCTGGAGGTACCTTGGGCAAGCTTCAGAGGGTAGATCCACCAAGCCAGCTGCAAGCCTGCTGCCGCCCCACCTCCTAAAGGGCAGGGCAGGCAGAGACGACGTGTTCCTTTCCCATTTGCTGGCTTTGCTGCAGCCTCTGGCTGGCCCGCCCACTTGAACAGGATGTGTTACGTTTTTCAGCTCATCCTTTGGCGGCCTAGTGCTGCTGTTAGCAGTGCCGGCTTGCTTCTGTGTGTTCAGACAGTCCAAAGGTGATCCTCTCCTTTTTCACTGTTGGTTGCTGTTTGGGCTACACCCCCCTGTCCCCGACTGGGGTCCCACGGAGTGGGAGGGACAGTCCCTACACTGTCCTGGAAGGCAAGTTCTCCTGGGCCCTCCCCGCACATCTCCCTGTTCGTGTTTCTTTGAAGCGCTTGATGCTGTTAACGAAAGGAGACCCCAGACGCCGTGGTGTTCAGTGTAGACCTGACCAGGCACAGGTTCAGAGCCAGCAAAGACAGTTCCCAGATGTGCCGACCTTTATAGAAAATGTCCAAGGTGTGTTTTAGGGCAGGTTCCAGACTAGGGAGGATGGAGATCCCAGGGCAGAGCAGTATGGTAAGCTCTGCTTGCCTCTGTGTAACAGCCAGAAGCTCCATAGAGCCAGCAACACAGAGTTTCAGAGGCCCTCAGGGTCTCTACTGCCCTCTGCCTTGGAAACCCAAGCTGGCCCTACCCTATCTCCTCTTGCAGAAGACTCATAGTGCTTAGGATTGCCTGGCCCCACTGTAATATTGAACACAGCATTACAGGTTTGAGTACACCCAGAGAGACCCCTGAATCCCATTTATCCAGTGGGACCAGAGAAAACACAGAGCAGGCGGGAGCCCACAGGTTCTAAGAAGTGTGCAGACAAAAGTGATAGGTCAGGTGGACCCAGAACCGTACACTCCTGCCTCATAACCGCCTGTGACTCCAGCTCCAGGGCAATGTAGGGAGAATTCTGGAATTTGGGTTTCTTTAAAAACACAGAAATAATATAAGAATATGTTTTTGTTTTAATCCCAGGTGTGGGGATGTGGGGCTGCTTCAGACTGACCACAGCAGCTGACTTATGAGTTGCCTCGTGCTCTAGCAGAGATGTGGTTTTGCCAGCTGCAGATATTATGATTGTGTGACATTTGGAATTCTGGGAACTTTTCAGAGGGTATATAAATGATATGTGGGGCTGTTGGTTGGTGGTCGTTGGTCATTTAGAGAGGTTTTTGTGGTTTGTTAGTAGTCATACTCAAAGAAGAAACAGAAGGAAAGAAATTAGATACATGGATCTCTATCCTTTCTAGTGATAGGGATGGAACTGGAGGGGTATAAAGGGGGGGGGGGAAGAACCCACAAAGTAGCAAAGGCTGGCTACAGGGTAATCTGTCCCTTCTGGCCTTCACAGGCACCCAAACACACTCTGCTCATGTGCACGTACAAACACACATACATAGTCTGTGTGTGTTTGTGTGTGTGTATGTTTGTATGGCTGGCAGGTAGGAGGTGTCTGACCACTAGCAGATACATTAAGTCTGTTGACCTTGCTGGGCCATAGTTGAAAGCTGCCTTTGTCCCCTTTGGGGACTCTTCCCTCTGCACCAGCTGGCACTATGGACCCCCAACCCTGGGGCTCCCAGTGACACGGTAAGGAACCACAATGCCATAGACTGGTTACCAGGGTACGGCCCCTTTTCAGGTTTCTAATGGTTTCTTCCATGTTTTTCCAGTTCAAGAGACAAAGAAGCCTGTCTTGGCTCCTCAGGATGTTATCTTGCTTAGTCTTCTTTTATCTGGCTGATAGCCAAACGGTTATGGCCATCGTTAAAAAAGGAATGGAGAGTTTCCTTGAAGTGGCTTTCTCACAGAGGCTCTGGGGCACCCCCTGCCCCACCATGGGGACAGTAGCACTGTGTCCTGCAAGAACACCAGAGGAGTTAGTACAACTCCTCAGAAGGGTGCAGGTTAGCTTCACTGTGTTTACACCTGCTGTGGGCCAGAGCCCCTGTGTGCCAGAGGCTTCCCCTACACGTCGTCATCTGTAGGTCACTCAGGAGGCTGCTGGCCTCTCACCAGTCTGGCACATCCCAGAAGGACCCTAGACCTCAAAAAAGCATGTACCTAGCAAGTAGCCGCCAGTGGCATTGGGACAGGAAGGCTGAGGTCCTGTCCTAAGGGTTACTCAAGACTGGCCCAGTCCTGTCATCACCGTGATCCCTGATCTGGCCCTGGTGCCTAATACAAGGATTCTGTTTGTCTCCTCAGGCATTCTTCATCAGTCAGGAAGCTGCTGTTAGCCATGGAGAAAGAGCAGAGGCCAGCTCAAGAGGTAAGGGGAAGCCGGGGCTGATGGAATGTCTTCCTGAACAACGTTTGTCCCAGCCCAGCGACACCTGCTGCTCACACGGGAGGGTGAGATTCCCCAAGTGGGAACCTGGGTCCCTTTAGCTGCTTCTGTGCATATACTGCCCTTGACAACTAGGTTTTTTAGATTCTGTTTGGAAGTACCTCCATGGAGAAGTCCTGAGGCAAATGGCCCCGTTTGAGCTTGCTAAGGAGGCACAACAGGTCTGGAGTGTGCTTCACCTGTGGGGTAGGGCCAAAGTTTTTGGACACTTACTTGAACTCTCCCTCTGCAGGCTGACGCGGAACCTGTGGTAACATCAGGGGCCTCAGAAGCAGTGCCAAGGGTGCTTTCTGGAGATCCTCAGAACATCTGTATGTTTCCCTTCAGGACTTGGTATAGACACAGTGCTGGGTCCCAGGGACGGGGTGGGACTGTGGGGAGGGAATAAAGGCAGCATGAGCCCCTCACTGTACTTAGGTACCTGTAATATCCTGAAATTGGCTGCACAGAGCCTGTGCTTCAGCCCCTAAAAGTTGAGTCATACATGTGACTGAGACACGTCCAAGGAACCTGGCCACCCCGCTCCCTCAGGCACAGCACTTTCCTATGACAGTTTGGGTCTAGTTGAGGGTAGCGAGGAAACTCCTGCCCAGGCCCCTCAGCTGTACTCCACTCACAGAGGTGCTCAGGTGGCTTGTCCGGTCATCTGGGTAAGCCGGCTGTGTAGAGTGAACTGCTTGTCAGAGATTCTGTCCAATGGGACTCAGTTCTCACTGGGAAGCTGGAAAGCTTCCGTAACCAGTCCATAGGCAGCTGTGCCCTGGTGTCATGCCGCCCCCACACCTCCCTTCACCATGGCTTTTGCTGTTGTTACAGCTGATATGGATGCCTTCAACTTGCTCCTGGACATGAAAATGAAGCGACGGCGTGAACGGCCTAACCTTCCGCGTACTGTGACCCAGCTGGTGGCTGAGGATGGGAGCAGGGTATACGTGGTGGGCACTGCTCACTTCAGTGACGACAGCAAGCGGGACGTAGTGAAGGTGAGCACTGTGCGTCTGCAGTCTGAACTGCAGGGACACAGGCCAGGGACGAGGGAAGAGCTGTGCAGCAGGCATTTCTAGCTCTAGAGTCCCCCAGGCATGAGAGGTGGTGCTTCCTGCTGCACGGCTCGAAGCCTCACGCTTCTTCATTTTAGCAAGTAAAGCTGCCTCAGCTTTCTTTGCTTGCTCTTTCTCTGGAATTTGTCACTTAAGCCACACAGGCTATTAATGCTGGCTGCCCCCTGGTGTGGGACTCCTTGTCCAGCGTGGAACAGCCATGTGGAAAGCGATAGGAGGGGTCCAGCGAGTGTGGCCTTGCTTTGCAGACTATCCGGGAGCTGCAGCCCGATGTGGTGGTTGTGGAACTCTGTCAGTACCGTGTATCCATGCTGAAGATGGATGAGAGGACACTGCTTCGAGAAGCCAAGGACATCAACCTGGAGAAGCTGCAGCAGGCTGTCAGGCAGGTGCGTACGTGAGTGGGCCATAGGCTAGGGGTACCCAGGTCTACATGGGGACCGGAAGCTGCTGCCCTTCTCTTCAGAGAAGGGGCCAAGACTCAGAGCCCAGAGTCTTCCCTTTGAGCCGATGGCACTGGACCAGCCTTGTGGTCAGTGCCGTAGTACCCTGCTTGCAAGCCCACTCCCTCACGCAGGAGATACAGAGGCTGGAAGAGGAGAAGGATAAGGCTCAACCACAAGACAGGGCAGAGCTGAGAACTCTGGTCTGCTAAGCTGGAGTGCTGGGTCTGAGCATTCTGGCCGCCACACTGCTGTATGGCCCTGCCATCCACACCGCGCCAGCCCTGCAGGGCTGGGAGAATCAGCCTATAGTAGCACATCCTCGTGGGCGTGGTTTTCTGAGGCCACCAGGCGTGTCTTGCCCTCTTGCCCCAGCTGCAGTATACTTCCTCTTCTTTGAAGGAACCAAGTGTTAGAGTCTGATGTGAGTGTTCCCAGACATTCTGAGCACTTTTCACTGTGGAATCTCCCAGATGAGGAACGTCACCATAGACCTTTACTGGATAGCCTGTAAAAGGAAGTCACCATCCATTCAGGCATGGTTTTAACACCAGCCTAGTGTTCTCCCTGGTCACCTTCCCCTCTCCCTCCCCTTCTCCCATGTACGCCCTCTTTGAAACAGTTACTGCACTGGAAGAAGAGCCACACAACTGGCCAAGCCATGTGCTCATATCTGGGCCCATCATGAGGGCACAGGTGAAGGTGAACAGAGGGGAGAGGCTGGCACCTGCTGCCCACCCATCCCCTCAAGAAGTCTCAGATAGACTTTTCCCAGCAACAGTATGTGATGACATGCACAGGTGCTGCTCACCAGGAGGCTACTGGTGTCCAGTTTTTATAGAGGATTGGCCAGGTGGACCCAGCTGATCTCAATGGCTCTAGTTACTCCAGTAGTCAGTACTGTCTGACTCATGACCCCCACAATCCAATCATGGTGGCACACACCTTTAATCTCAGCACTTGGAAGACAGTGGCAGGTGGATTTCTGTGAGTTCAAAGCCAGCATGGTCTACAAAGCAAGTTCCAAGTCAATCAGGGCAATATTTAAAAAAACAAAACAAAAAATACACGCCCCGCTCCACCTGAGTCTCAGGCTCAGCCTAGACTTCAGAGTCTGCCTCCCCGAATCAAATAAATGGTCACCAGGTCTCCAAGTGCACTTTCCTGAATCAGGAGCCAAACAGTCCACACAGCAGCTTATGAGGCGATCCTTCCTAAGCTGGCCCTTGCCAGCCGTCTCAGCCATGCACGCTAACCCACACCTCAGGGCCCATCCAGCCTGGCCAGACCAGAGGCAGCCAGTGCACTGTGGGCCTCTTTGCTCTCGGAAGATGGATGTGGCAAGTACTGAAGCTCGCTGTTGGTGCTGGACTACCAGCCTGCTTGCTCAGGTTTAGTCTGTGCCTCAGACACAGACTAAACTGGTCAAGTAGTCTCAGGCATGTAGCCCCTGTTCAACATCTTTGACCATCTTGTAAAAAAAAAAAAAAAAAGTTTTTCAAAGGAAACAGTTTTGAATGATTCTTGAGGCCAAGATGACCTGCTGTTGTCAGACTCTCCTCGTGTACCAGTATGCCCTTCCCTTGCCACTGGAAGCAGCCTGACTCAAGGGCACCCTAACGTCCTCATACTGCTCTGTCTTGCTAACTCTGCAGTATAGCTGACATGGTTCCTCTTTCTGCAGAATGGCCTCATGTCTGGACTCATGCAGATGTTGCTGCTGAAAGTGTCTGCGCACATCACTGAGCAGCTGGGCATGGCCCCTGGTGGCGAGTTCAGGGAGGCCTTCAAGGAGGTGGGTGCTAGCCACGGCCACGGTGATGTGTGGCTGCCTTGATAGGGGCTGGTGGGAATTACCCACGGTGTCCCAAGTTGTAACACTCAGCCTCTGCTCAGGCCAGCAAGGTACCATTCTGCAAATTCCACCTGGGTGATCGGCCCATCCCAGTCACCTTTAAGAGGGCCATTGCTGCACTCTCCTTTTGGCAGAAGGTCAAGCTGGCCTGGGGCCTGTGCTTCCTGTCAGACCCAATCAGGTAGGACAGCCACCCTGGCCTATCCATGGCACATTCCACACCTGCACCTGACCTAGTCTCCTCACACAGTCCTTGTCATCTTCCCACTCTAAACTCCAAACACACGCTGCAGTGCTGTGGTCCCTGGCCTGGGTCAACAATGCAAGGCCTCTGTCCCCGTGCTCTGCCAGCAAATCTCTGTTCATCCCCCTGAGCTAGTATGCCCTCTGCCCTCAGCAAAGATGATGTGGAGCGCTGCAAGCAGAAGGACCTGTTGGAACAGATGATGGCGGAGATGATTGGGGAATTTCCTGACTTGCACCGGACCATTGTCTCCGAGCGTGATGTCTATCTGACCTATATGCTGCGGCAGGCCGCACAGCGCCTTGAGCTTCCCCGAGCCTCTGACGGTGATGGACAGCCCAGGGTGGGGATGCCCCAAGATACTGGTCCTGGGCCTGCTACTGACTTTTGCCCTCCCTTCACAGCTGAGCCCAGGAAGTGTGTCCCATCTGTGGTTGTGGGAGTTGTTGGCATGGGTCATGTGCCTGGCATTGAGAAGAACTGGAGCACCGACCTCAACATCCAGGAGATCATGACGTGAGTGCCTTCCCCACCTCACCCCCAATCCCTGCAGCTGCACGTGGGGGTGACCCATACATGGGAAGACCCTGGGGGTACAAGTCCCAGCCAGGCCTACCGTACCTCTCCCTTCCACAGAGTTCCCCCACCATCCATCTCAGGCAGAGTGTCCCGGGCGGCCTTGAAGGCTGCCTTCTTTGGCCTGCTGGGCTACAGCCTGTACTGGATGGGCCGTCGAACCGTGAACCTGGTCCTATCACTGCCTGCTGCACAGTTCTGCGTACAGAGGGTGAGCGAGGCCCGGCCAGGCTGGTAGAAGGACCATGCAAGGAAGAGACCACACCCAGGCCCTCTACTCCTCTGCATCACATCTGGTGCTTCCGAGGAGCTGGCACCTCCTGTCTGGGGATATCCCTGGGTGTAGATGCATCAAGCCACCCCCTATGGGGGCCTAGGCCAGGCTTCCCCTGCCTTTCCCATGCCCAGCCCACCCAAATAAAGAATATTTAACTGTCTGAGCTCAGGCTTCCCAGCAGCCCCACACACACACTGTGGGGGCCACCCACAGGCATCAGGGCCATCCACAGAGTCAAGACCCAGTGGCCTAGTTTCAAGAGGGCCAGAAGCTGAGGGGAGGCACTGAGGTGCCCCACCCTTAATGCCAGGGTGGGCCTGGCAAGCTGTCGCTTTACCTACCTCACTGTGCCTTGTGCTCTGGCCGGCAGGAGCATCTGGCCCTGAGAGCATCTCACTGTGGGTTTGGGGCCGGCGGGTCTGGGGAGCTGGGTGTCCATGAGCTCCTTTCTGTGGGTTTGTAGGGCCTCTGGCTGGCCTAGACATGCATGTGGCACTGTGAGCTGTCCCTCTGCCCACAGAGAGTCTGTGGTTTGTTTTTGATTTTTGTTTTGTTTTGTTTTTTAATGTCAAAAAGTTTTTTACTCAGGTAATTTTGACATCAAAGAAAAAACAAACTGAAGCAACTATCAGGAAATACAAGCCTTAAATCTATGAGGACAAAGAAGTCAGTTTTTTTGTTTTGTTTTGTTTTTGTTTGTTGGTTTGGTTTGGTTTGGTTTTTTTTTGTTATTGTTGTTTTTGTTCTTTTGTGTGTGTGTGTGTGTGTGTGTGTGTTTGTTTTGTTTTTGCTTTGTTTTGTGTGTGTGTGTGTACCCTGAGTGGGCAGTGTATGTCAGAGAGTCAGCTTGGGGGTCCAGACCAGCCCCTGCTAGACTCCACTCCAGCTCAGTGTGGTGTGGGGCTGCTTCAGAAAAGAGCCTGCTTCCCTGGCTGCCCTTGGTGCTGGTAGGGGCTAGACCTGACCCTGTGCGTTAAGTGGGACACCCAAACTGCACTGTGGGCAGTAGGCAGGCGCCCGGTGTGTGCCGCAAACCTAGGGCCACTGGTGTACAGGCTGTGGTTCCTGGCGTACCGGACAGTCTGGCAAGACCAAGCCCACGCTGATAGCCTTGTGTTGACTGCCAAATCAGGTGAAACACTGAGCTGGGCAGGGGACACGGGGCTGGTTGGGCTGTGTACTTCTGTCTCACACTCGTGGATTCATTCCCTAGAAAGAGAAATAAATGTTAATTTTGGAAGCTCCCGCTTTGTGAAGTGTGTGGAAATGGGACTCAGGTGATGGGGCTGGCTTCCTCTTTTGTCATCTGCCCCAGGTCTGCAGGATGCTGGGGTCCTCCTGCGTCCAGGGGGATATGCCACACCCCAACACAGTCTCCAGGCCGGACCCTGGTGCCCACTAGTTTAGCAAGGTTATCTGTGTGCCAGCCAAGTGTGTATACTTAGCACCTACATACCCTCCGGTTCACACTTCACTGCCTGGCAGGGGGAGGAGCATAGGGCTGGATCAGAATATCATTAAGGTAGGTGATTCTTGCCTATGTTAGCAGCATTTGGGCTGAAACAGTTTGTTACCATTGCCAGGTCAAAGGAGGGCAGACCCTGAAGGTAACCAGTGAAGTCCGTGTTGGTGGCAGCAGGAAGGACACAGATGCTCTGGCCAGGGCTGAGGTGGCCTATTGCCACAGAAAAAAGAGACATAATATCCCACCGCCCGTGGAGGGGATTTGCTAGCAGTCACACCATTCCAGGGACAGAGCTAGGCTCACTGTAGGCTTTTGTTTGTTTGGGGGGGGGGGGGGATTGGTTTGTTTGAGACAAGGTTTCTTTGTGTAGCCCTGGCTATCCTGGAACTTGATCTGTAGACCATGCTGGCTTTGAACTCAAGAGGTCCACCTGCCTCTGCCTTCTGGGTGCTGAGATAAAAGTGTGCCACCATGTCCAGCTTCATTGCAGTTTTAGGAGCTCACTGTGGCCCCAGAGAAAGTTCCAGACATGAATTCTTGAGGTGTAGAACTGAAGGCAGAGGCTGAAATGAAGAGAGACACAGCCAAGAAGGAATGTGTACATTTGTCCATGCTCAAAGTCTCCTGTTGGAGACTAATAGGTTTCCTGAGCACTGGATGCTGTCCACCTTCCCATCATCAAGGTCCATATCCACCTAGAGATAAGGAAATGTGACTTCAGAGAGAAGTGCTGTGTGCAGGGGAAAAAATGACTTGCGGTGCCAAAGGCAAGCAGTTGGGGACAGAGGACCTAGCACACATTGTAGGTTCCAGGTAGGCTCAGACCCCTGGCCTAATCCATTGTGCAATCTCTGCTTTGGCTTTGCCCTGGTACTAATGTTGATCCAGATTGTCCCCGTATTGAGTCCCACAGATCCCAGGAACTTTGCCAGGACTTCTAGCCCTTCTCTGGGCAGAACAAATGAGAAAATTTGTCCTAATAGAAAGACACTGCATAGTCTACAATTTAAGAACATATTTGTCCTTTATGTAAAAAGGAATCTACACACATTGATAATGTGCTCTGAGTTAAGCATAGAACTCATCTAAACAGCTGGCTCAGGAAGAATGTAATCTGGCCCTTGGTGTCTGCAATGAGGAAAGCACCAACACCATAAATCAGAGACAGGAGGGACAAGACTATAATCCCAACACTCGGGAGGCAGAGGCAGGTGGATTTCTCTGAGTTCGAGGCCAGCTTGATCTACAAAGTGAGTCCAGGACAGCCAAAGCTACGGAGAAACCCTGTCTCAAAAAACCGAGGGCGGGGGGGGGGGGGGGGGGGGGGGGGGGGGGGGGGGGCGACTGACTGCCTTTATTTACTAACCTACATAATTTGCTGGCTAAAGATAAATGAAAGACACATCTTTGGGCTGTTAAAGATCATAGACTCTTGGTTGTCTGAATAAAACAGCTCAAAGATTCAATATCTGTTTTTATGCATGTGATGGACAGAACCAGTCAAACCCATAGTACCCGTGGGGCCGGGAATGACCCTGGCTTCACCTTTAGCTGAGAACACCCTGGGGGTCTTTTAGGGACGTCACTCAGCCTGTAAACCCACTTGGAGTAGTCCGGTCTGACACATGTCACCTGGGTGAGAGCTCCGCTGGCCCGCTGCACAGGTGCCAGGGGTAGTAGAGCATCTCAGGCCCACTTCCACCTGCAACTTCTCAGAGCGCAGAAGTGGACAAATTGCAGAGGCAACCAATCAGAACCAAGCTTCTGCGCGTGACCCCCACCAGCAAGCCCATAATTGGGCGGGGAAAACTTCCGGTCTGGGCGAGCGGGCTTCCGGCGACGCGGCGAATGGCCTCTCTAAGGGCCGTGCTCGCGGCCTCGCTCGCGGCTGCCCGAACCCGGCAGCCGTGTGTGTGCCTCGCGCTCCCGTCGCCATCACTCTGGTCCGCCTGGGCTGCTGCCATGGAGGTCACACCGCGCTGGCTGGCGGGGCTGCGCTTCGACAACCGCGCCCTGCGCGCGCTGCCGGTAGAGACGCTGCCGCCCGGGACGGAGGACGCCCTGTCCACCCCGCGGCCGGTGCTCGGAGCCTGCTTCAGCCGTGCACGGCCCGCCCCGCTTCGGCAGCCGCGCCTCGTGGCGCTGTCGGAGCCGGCGCTGGCGCTGCTCGGGCTCGAGGCCAGCGAGGAGGCCGAGGTGGAGGCCGAAGCTGCGCTCTTCTTCAGCGGCAACGCGCTGCTGCCGGGCGCCGAGCCCGCCGCGCACTGCTACTGTGGGCACCAGTTCGGCCAATTCGCCGGGCAGCTGGGCGACGGCGCCGCCATCTACCTGGGCGAGGTGTGCACCGAGGCCGGAGAGCGCTGGGAGCTGCAGCTCAAAGGCGCCGGCCCCACGCCCTTCTCCAGGTGCGGAACACGGGGGGCTTCCGGACGTGGGTGAAACGGGGAGGTGCTTAGCGGAACTTTCGCCCGGGTTGGGCATCTGTACGCCCAGAAAAGCCCCGTGGAGGAGTTAGGACCTACAAGTTGGAGCTCTTTGCAAAGGGTTTTGTGGAGGAAGGCAAAGAAGGGAACTGGCGGGTGGCAAGCCAGAGAAAACAGGAAGTTAGGGGTTGGCTTTACTTTCTGGCTGACACTGTCAGGCCGAGTGGCAAACACTTCTATTGGCTGTCCGTTGTGTTGTCAAAAACACACCGAACTTTGGAGCCAGTTCCACAAATGATACTGTTTGCTGAACAGCTTGCCCAGAGACCAGTTTTCAGAGGTTGCACTCGTGTCCAAACCTGTTTTCCCGTGATTACGTGAGCAGTCTGCACCATCTAGTAAATAGTCTGTTGTCATACCCTCCTTCTCTGTGATCATTCTCCCAAACGGGTCAATTCTAATCGTGCAGGCGCACATGGGCATGCGCGCCCGCGCACACACACACACACAATTATCAGGTGGGTACTTCCCATGGAGAGTACACAGGTGGTTCAAGACAGGCCTGGATCCAAATCCAGATAGGCCCAAAGAAACTCTTGTTATCCACATCCTGCCACCCAGGTGGAGACAGCTCTTTGGGGCTCTGTTTCTGGTTTTCACTACATACTTGATGTCTAAATAGTAAGTTGGGGTCTTATGGTTTGAGCCTACATCTGCCCCTCATCTGCTCCTCCTCCAGCCTTAGTGGAGAAACCAGGCCCTCCCTACCTCCCGGGCCACACACACACACCAAGCTGCCCTAATCTCTCAGATGAGATTCTCAGAATAATAGGTTCTTCCTCGTCTTCTTGCCCCCAAGCCTTTGGTCTGTGCCCCAAGCCAAGTTTATGGTCTCATCTGGCACTCTTGAGTGAGGATCACCTGGAGCAACCTTCTCAGAGCAGATGCCACCCACAGTCTGGAGTCCACTCATCCTGTGATTCGCCTTAAATTTGCATTTTGATGATTTATGTTCACCAGTTACCAAAAAAAAAAAAAAAAAAAAAAAAAGCCTTTGGAAGGCTTCGTTATGTTTTGTCAAGGTACTGAGAACCAGATCCAGAGTCTCATGTATCCTAGGCGACCTTTGAGCCACATATCCAGCTTTATACTTGACTTGTTTTTAGTTGGTGTTTCCACACCTGAGGTCAGCTGAAATGTTTCCACTACATCAGAGATCTCTTTGACCCTTGCTTAGGTCTCATACTTGTGTCAGGGTCTCTGACCTCAACACTTTGCCAAGGCTTGAGGTTAGAGGTGGTTGTGGGGGTCAGGCATCTAGAGCCCTAAGCTAGGTAAGTGGCTTCTTGCACCTTGGATGTCAGCGCTTTGAGACCAGCTGTTGGGGTAGGCTCAAGAACTCCACTGCTGAGCCTCCGTCCTGTGCAAAGCAGCCAACCTTCCTGCCCAGAAAAGCCAGAATCCTCAGAAAGCCCTCAATCTGAACGTCTCTCCCTTTTACTTTCTTCACATTACTCTCTGGTTTTTTCCTATGTTCACTCCCTGTCAGTTGGTTGCTAACTGCCTTTTGACCTAGGGTTAACTTTATTTAATCCTGTTTACAATACTCAATCAGAAAGCTCTTAGGTTGGTTCCTGGAGAGATGGCTCACTGGTTAAGAGCAGTGGCTGCTCTTCCAGAGGACCAGGTTTCAATTCCCAGCACCCACATGGCAGCTCACAACCGTCTGTAACTCTCGTGCAGGGGATCTGATGCCCTCGCACAGACAGACATGTAGTCAAAACACCAATGTATGTAAAATAAGAATAACAAAAATTTAAAAAGTATTTTCTTTTTTAAAAAAATGCTCTTTTATTAAAGCTGTGTGCTAGGGCTGAGCCACACCACAACTAGAAACAGGTTTTTCCAGTAAACAACACAATGTTGGGGGTTCACAGTGTGCTCAGATATCCTGCAGCAGAAGAGAGCTTACAGACCAGCTGGCTTGTCTCTTAAGATCACATTTACTAGATTCTAACCAGATTAGAATAGACTATGTTGTGCTTCTTGAGACATGGTCTTACTACATAGTCCTGGCTGTTCTTGAATTTGCGGCATAGATCAGGCAGGCCTTGAACTCACAGAGATCCATCTGCTTCTGCCTCCCAAGGGCTTGGATTAAACACATGCCTCCATACCAGGCGTGGTCCTAAACCTTTGATCCTTCTGTCTTCCATGCACTGAGATGACAGGGCTGTATGTACAAAGCATATTGGCTTGATCAGTTTCAGGCAGTGGCCCTATTGGTTAGGGTACCCAGGGTGCCCCTCCTGCAAAGAAGGGCTACCGCTGCGGCCTGTTCAGGCAGCCACTGTGCTGGCCTCCCAATAATATACTGTGTTCTCCTAAAAACAAAACAGACCCAGTGTGTGGGAAGAGTTGAAGCGGTGCAAACTACCCATAGAATTCATCTTTCTTGCCCCATCTCTAGATCCCTGTGCCTGGTGGCAGAGCCCCTACCGGGTCTGTCACTCAGCCGTAGACATGTAGCCATGCAGTTTTGTTTCCTTTAGGGGTATGGCATGTGCAGCATGGCCAGCAATTGCTTCTCCCAGCACCACCCACTACGCTGCCTTGACAGTGTCTGCCTGCCCTTTGGGTTTGGAACAGCTTGTGTCCTTCTCTGAGAACCAAGTAACAGTTTACTGGTGAGCTTGTGCTTCTGTACCTGCCCGCTCAGGGTGGGTTTCCACTTTTTCTTACTGCAGATAGTGCTGGTGCGTGTGTATGCATTAATTATTTTAGGAGTATTGTTCGTAAAACACTTACGAAGACAAGACTGCAGGTGTGAAGGTATGGGTGGGGCGGGGGAGCAACTCGTCACCAGGCCTTAGTCACATGACTTCCACACCAAAGCTCTTGGGAAACTTGGGCTGGAATAGCCTCTGCCTGACTGGCTTCTTGGCCTGTGTTCGATTTCAGACAGGCCGATGGTCGCAAAGTCCTGCGGTCAAGCATCCGTGAGTTCCTGTGCAGTGAAGCCATGTTTCACCTGGGGATCCCCACCACGAGGGCCGGGGCCTGCGTCACGTCTGAGTCCACAGTGATGCGAGACGTATTCTATGATGGTAATCCAAAATATGAAAAGTGCACAGTTGTGTTGCGTATAGCTCCCACTTTCATAAGGTAATGCTGGGGTCCATTAGGCCTGTCTACATGCACTTGCTTATAGATCATAGAAGAGCCATGCTTGCGTAGCCAGAATTTGAGCCCAGTTCTTGAGCAAGCAACAGCACCTGGCAGGGGGCAGGAGTTAGCCCCAAGTGCCTCTTGATGCCCCTGGCCAACAGCTACCCAGAATTGCCTCATAAGGAAATGGCCTCATAAGTGGGCTCCTGGAGTTTCCGGGGTTTTTTTTGTTTTTTGTTTTTTTAAGATTTATTTATTTATTATGTATACAATGTCTGCCTGCATGTAGACCTGCACACCAGCAAAGGGCACCAGTCTTCATTATAGGTGGTTGTGAGCCACCATGTGGATGCTGAGAATTGAACTCATGACCTCTGGAAGAGCAGCCAGCACTCTCAACCTCTGAGCCATCTCTCCAGCCCCCTGGAGTTTCCTTCTTAATCATCCAGTTACTCACTCATTAGCCTAGTCCTTCTGGCCGACTCCTGTCTTTGTCCTCACCTTAGCTTGGTGTCCAGTACTTCAGGGGCTATCTGAATAAGGAGCTACCAGGAGGTGGCTAGTGTGATCTAACGACTCATCGGTTATCTCACACTCACCACCCACCCCACACAAGACCCAGTGTTGCTCTCTGGCTTTCTCTGGCCGCCGGGGGATGCAGAGGGGCCAAAAATGGTAACTACTGCACTCCAGAGGCCTTCCCTTAACTTGACTCTTGAGTAGAGGCCATCCTGTGCCTTGTACAGTCCCCTGGCTTCCGATTGCCAGTGTCAACCCAGTCACAATTAAAAAGAAAAAAAGTCAGCTGGCATGATGGTGCATGCGTTTAATCCTAGCACTCAGGAGGCAGAGGCAGGTGGATCTCTGAATTAGAGGTCAGCCTGGTCTACAAATGGACTTCTAGAATAGCCAGGACTACACAGATAAACCCTGTTTCAAAAAAAAAAAAAAAAAATCGGGATTGGAGAGATGGCTCAGCAGTTAAGAGCACTGATTGCTAGAGGTCCTGAGTTCCCAGCAACCACATGGTAACTCAGAACCATCTGTAATGGCATCTGATTCCTCCTTCTAGTGTGCATGAAGACAAAGCGTTCATATACATAAAAGAAATAAATCTTTTTAAAAAATCAAAACATAAATGTTTAAAAGGCTTCATACATGACTGATGTCCCTTATAGGACAGCCAACCTGCTGAGACAGAGACTTGTACATTCTCTGTATGGTACCTTCTCCTGCTTGTCCTCACAAAACCCTGTGTGGAGTTGGAGTTGGCAAAGTAGACAGTCGTGGTGGTTTCTTGACCTGATGAGCCTCCAAGGATCTGGGAACCAGGAGACTCCCTGGCTAACAGTGGCCCAAACTTGTGTCATGTCACTCAAGAGATCTGGCAGTGCTCGGCTAGTCAGCGTGCTTTTCCACTGTAGGTCTACAAGACCTTGAAGCCACGCTGCTTTTTTTTTCCTCTCAGGGGGTGGGGTCTGTCTGACCTATTGTGTGCTGCGGTCTTTCCTGCAGGTTCGGCTCCTTTGAAATCTTTAAGCCTCCTGATGAGCACACAGGGCGCGCAGGCCCCAGCATGGGGCGGAATGATATCCGAGTCCAGATGCTTGACTATGTGATCAGCTCTTTCTACCCTGAAATCCAGGCTGCCCATACCTGTGACAGCGTGCAGAGGAACGCTGCCTTTTTCAGAGAGGTAGGCAGAGGCTTCCCACCGGCCCCCCCATTGGCCACGGTTGACTTCTCCTTGTTGCCAAATATGGTCACTATGGCCAGGGACAAAGGCTTTTATCTGGTATCCCTGTCCTTTTTTGCTCCTTGCTCCTGTGTCCAGGGCTTATCATTCCCCATAGTCTCTTGAACTGGGCAGCCTGGAGGTACCAGAGCTTTTTTGTTTTGAGACTCTAAGTAGCATTGGCTAGATTGGAACTTGGCATGTGTAGACCAGGCTGGCTTCAAACTCATGAAGATCCACCTGCCTCTGCCTCCTGAGTATTAGGGTTAAAGGCATGTGTCACCAACCCCATACGCTAGGGCATTTTGATAATTTGACATTAAGACACCTGGTTGTGTACAGCTACAAGAACCAGGAAACCCAGATAGTCTTGGAAGACACATGGACAAAAGCACTGGTGAATTCTGGATGCCTATCACATGGGTCAATGGCCTTAATTTAGCACACCTACCTGGTATCTTGATTTGGGGAGAAGAGATGTGGACTCTCCCTGTTTCTGTGTGGTTTGGACTAGAATACAAGTCATTGCTGGTCAGCAGAATACTTCAAGCATGTGTCCACAGGGCTTTTTCCCACTTCTAGCTCAGTTGCTGGGTATGTGGTATAGCACAGCCACAGAACAGCAGGGGGAGCTCTGAGGCTCTCAGCTTTATGCTCACACAGAAACAGGTAGCTGATCTGGTCAGCTTACTGTCCCTTTAAGCTTCTGTCTATGTTAGTGAAACTGGGAGGATACCACCTGGGCCCAAGGAGCTCCTCTGCTTCTTCAGAGGTGAGGACCAAAGGCCACTTGCTTGGGCAGTGGGGGCTGCTGTTCTCCAAGCCACACTGGAACCTTATGTTCAGGCGCTGCTTCTGATTGGGTCACTGAGTGTGCAATGGTGGCATGGTCCTAAAGCACCCAGTATGGAGATGGAATAACAGGGCCTAGGAACAGCAACCTGGAGTGGTGTACCTGACAGTGTGTAACTTTCCCCCGTGTTGTTATCAGGTCTTCTTCCGGGAACTTGGTCTGTGTTGCTGGCTTTTAGCGTTTACCCAAAATTGGTAGCATATAAAAGATTGGTGGTGGAAATGGGACTTAGGTCCTCCTAAACAACTCACCCAAAACGTACTTCTGAAACACTAAGTCATAAAGGGATTTCAGAGTACCCTGGACTGAGAACCACTCACAGAAAGGCCACTGGCATCCAAGAGATGCACTTGAGTGTTGTGGCATGAGTAAGGGCAGATGGGTGTAGAGGGGCCCACGGGGAGGGAACAACCAGAGCCTGTTCTGCTCTAGGTGACACGACGAACAGCACAGATGGTGGCCGAGTGGCAGTGTGTTGGCTTTTGCCATGGTGTGCTCAACACTGACAACATGAGCATTGTGGGGCTCACTATTGACTATGGACCCTTCGGCTTCCTGGACAGGTAATGCCACTTGAGTTGCAGGTGATAGGGCAGACATGGGTATGGGAAAGAAACAGTGGGGCCTGTGTGCTGCTCTTCTTCAGTGTTTCATTCCCAGTAGCCTCTGTTCAGACATTCCTACAAGCAGAAATCAAGCTTTTTTGGAACTCACTACGTGATCCAGGCTGACCTTGAACTTGTGATCCTCCTGCCTCAGGTCCCTGAATGATAGGAGTATATGAGTGTGCCATCATATTTAGCCTCCCTAGAGTGTTCTGAACAAAAAAGGGTGACACTGTAGCATGTTAGAACATCTCACGCCAGTACCAGGCTGTAAGTGAATCAAAGGAGTCAAGAGTGTAGAGTGGAGCAGAGGCAGGTGGTAAGCAAGCCTAAGGTAGTCTGTGTCTCAAGGAGCTTCCTCTCTGGCCTTGAGGCAGAAGAAAGTACAGCCACTCTGTATCTTCCTGGCCTGGGCCCATAGGACCTGACAGCACCAATCTTCCCCAGCAGCCTGCTCTCTCTGACCGCACTTCTTTGTGTGGCAGGTATGAGCCTGACCATGTCTGCAATGCCTCTGACAATGCTGGGCGCTATACGTACAGTAAGCAGCCCCAGGTCTGTAAGTGGAACCTGCGGAAACTGGCAGAAGCCCTGGAGCCTGAGCTGCCACTTCAGCTGGGTGAGGCCATCATAGCAGAGGAGTTTGACAGAGAGTTCCAGAGGCACTATCTACAGAAGATGCGTAAGAAGCTGGGGCTTGTTAGAGTGGAACAGGAAGAAGACGGCACACTTGTGGCCAGGCTTCTGGAGACCATGCATCTGACTGGTGAGCCACTGAGCCCTATCACTGTGGATAAATACTGTGTTCCCTTTTATCGTTTCTAGGGTACATCTCAGCAGCATTGGGGCATTCCCATTTCCCAAACTCAAATTCTGTCTCCTGTAAATAATTTTCCATCTACCTCCCTCAACACCATTCTGCTTTCTGTGTTTGACCACTCTAGGAACCTCAGTAGAGAAACTCCGTAGCGTTCATCTGTGACTGCCTTGTTTCACTCTATAGAAGATCCCTAGGTTCTTCCATGTTGTAGCATATGTCTGAGTTTAACTTCCATTTTTGATGCTGACCATCCAGTTCTATGGCAATGCTCCCCTTGGGTTTTCTTAGCTGTTGTATATAGTGCTGCTTTGAAAATGTATATAGTTACTGGTTTGCATTCCTGCTTTCAGTTCTTATGAGCACACAGTTAATGGGATTAGTAGATCATTATTTAGCTTACCCCTGACTGCTCTGGATTCAACTGTAGTGAGAAGTGGCTAAAATGAGCATCTTTGGTTTGTTCCTGGTCTTAGAATTGTGAACTTTTTGTCTGAAAACATTCTAGCCCATGCTGACCTTGAACTTGTGCTCCTCCTGCATCAGCCTCCTGAATGCTGTTTTTTTTTTTTTTTTTTTTTTTTTTTGAGATAGGGTCTCTCTATGTAGCTCTGGTTGTTCTGGAACTGAGCACACACCAGGCTGGCATTGAACTCAGAGACATGCCTATTGCTGGCATTGAGGGCATTGCAAGTACCCAGCCTCTTTAGATCCTATTTGCATAGATGGTTTTTATCTTTTCATTTTCAACACACTTTAAGTGTAAAGCAGGCATTTTATAGAAAACAGTGGGGCTGCAGCGCCTCTTTGTTTCCATCTCTTAGTCTGCCTCTCCTTTACAGAGGTGGGTAATCCATTTTTGGTTACAACTGATTCCTACAAGTTTTCTCTGTGCTTTTTTTGTTCTTTTTTTAATTCTAGTTTTTCAAGACCAGGCCGACCTCAAACTCAAGATCCACCTGCCTGTACCTACCAAGTGCTGGGATTAAAGGCATATGCCACCACAGCCCAGCCTCATTTTATAATTTTAAGAAATTTGCCCAGTGGTGGTGATGCTTGCCTCTAATCCCAGAAGTTTGTGAATGCAAGACCAACCTGGTCTACAGAGCAAGTCCCAGGACAGCCTGGAACTCAGAGAACCCCTGAAAAACCAAGAGAAAAAAAAATTATTGTATGTGCATACACGCTATAGCATACATGGTACAAGTAGTACAACTTGCAAAAACCGGCTCTTTCCAGGACACGGGTCTTGGAGATCCAGCTTGGGCCAGTACACGTGGCAGCAAGCACCATTATCCACGAAGCCGTCATCTGGCATTTACTTTATATGTTGCTTAGGCTGCATGGTTCCAGATGAAGATGAATGCCAGGTCAGGCTGACAGATACAGGGTGTCAAGGTGCCCTAGGGAAGACTGTGACTGAGGGCCCCATGCTAGCCTTGGTTTTTGCCATTGTCAGTCCATTTTTCAGGTGAACTATTAGGGACTAGGAAGAGACGCGTTCGTGGCTTAGGAAATGGCTGGGAGTGAGCTACCTAGCATCGGCCTCCCCGCGCCTGAGCAGCTCGTTTTTGCAGGTGCTGACTTCACGAACACCTTCTATGTGCTGAGCTCCTTCCCGGCTGAACCGTCAGACTCGGCAGAGTTTCTAACCAGGCTGACCTCCCAGTGCGCCTCTCTAGAAGAGCTGAGACTTGCCTTCCGACCCCAGATGGATCCCAGGTGAGTCCACCCTCAGAATTTGTTTTCAGAAGGGGAGCAGCAGGGAGGTTGGAGACAGCCAGCCAGAGTCCTTCACAGCTACCTCATTGTTGGGTATGAAATGCAGTGTCACATTTCTGCAGCATTGAGGACCAGGGCACCAACAGGAAGAAAGCAGGACACAGATGGACTGGTGTGCCCCTCCCTACACCACCTCCTATAGATCTGCTAAGAGGAGGTGTGGAGAATGGTGGTAGTAGCTTACGGCTTTCATAAGTGATCCAGAGGCTGGTTGTGCAAAAAGGAATTTAGTGGGGAATGGAGCAGTAACCACCCCGAGGAAATCGCACTTGAGATTTGGTAGAACCACACCCAGGTAGATGGTCCCTGCCTAACTGCAGTGTTATGGGAAGGGAGCAATCTGCAAATTGCCTCAGCACCTGAGTCACGTGGCTGCTCCTGGCTGAGGTACTTCTTATACCACCCTCCCTGCAGGCAGCTCTCTATGATGCTGATGCTTGCACAGTCAAACCCACAGCTCTTTGCACTCATCGGCACTCAAGCAAACATCACAAAGGAGCTAGAGCGTGTGGAGCATCAGTCACGGCTAGAACAGCTGAGCCCCGCTGAGCTCCAGCTCAAGAACACAGACCTCTGGAAAACCTGGCTCCAGGAGTACAGGTAGGCAGCTTCCAGGACCGTCTGTCTGTACTGCCTCCTTGACACAATAGCCACAGCAGTTGGTGGCTGCAGAAGGCCTGTAATTGGGAGGCATGGAATATGCTATTCTTTTTGGGGAAAACTAGCTAGGAATTTGTTCTGATTCCAGAACCCGTCTGGACAAAGAGAAGGAGGGTGTTGGAGACACTGCTGCCTGGCAGGCAGAACGTGTGCGCATCATGCATGCCAATAACCCCAAGTACGTCCTAAGGAACTATATTGCACAGAATGCCATTGAAGCTGCTGAGAACGGAGACTTTTCAGAGGCAAGCACACGTCTTTGCTTGTCCCCCTTCCTCCCAGGGGCCTATCATTAAATACACCCCTCACCCAGTTCTTCTCACCTGCTGTCTTAGGTGCGACGTGTGCTGAAGCTGCTCGAGTCTCCTTACCAAAGGGAAGAGGCGGCCACTGAGGCCACAAGCCCTGAGGCAGGGGCAAGGACCGCTGATGAGCAGTGTTCCTATAGCAGCAGGCCACCACTCTGGGCAGCAGAACTCTGTGTAACATGATCCTCATAAAGGCCTCGGGCGTGCTCCACCAGTCTGGAGTCTCCCGAGGCCACCCCAGTGCTGCTAAGTTGCTGAGACCACTTCGATGCCTGCCCTCACAGTCTCTCCATGACGGCAGAGGTCTCCAGTCAAACCTGACCCATCTCTGTCTGATTACCGTCTTAGCAGTACTGACCTCGCCTAGCCCTCAACATGCTCCCAGCACACAGCACTTCATGCCAGGATATCAGTCTTATGCTTATAAGTAACACAAACAGGGCGAAGTAAGGCTTGTGACCTATTTGTGCATCTTGCCCCAAAGGGCAGGGTCTGTGCCTGATACCTGTTGAATGTCCCAGGCTTCTGAATAAAGTAGCCTTTATAGGTCTATCTGTGGTCACTGCTCGAGCCCCAGCCAGGTCAAACAGGCATGCACACCACGATCCTGTCTGTCCTCAAGAATCTTGGTAGTAGTTGTTGAAGTTGATGCGAAGCAAGAAGTCCTCCAGGTGGGGCTGATAGCCGCGGTTCACCAGCTTGGTCACTACTGGAGAGGCATCCAACTCTCAGGCTCCTGCCCACCCTGCCCCTGCCCACTCCAGCAGCCCAGCCCACCAAGAGGGCTCACCTTTGAAGAGGAAGTGGGAGTAGTACTTGAAGGTACTGTAGGACTGCTGCATGAGTGGGAAATTGGGGTGCTCGGCCCCACGGGGACCAGTAGCTGGGCCCCAGTTCTGAGAGATGAGCTGACTTCGGAACTTGAGCACCAGGCTGAAGATGCTATGGATGATGTTCATGACTGGGGCTGCCTTCTCTGTCAGTAGGCCCCTAGTGGAGGGTAGAGCTGCTGGTGGTCTGCCCAGCCTGACCTGGGCACACCCAAGTCCAGGTGCCTGTCTCACCTGAAAACAGCCCTGTGCAGGTACTCAGCATGGGCCCGCTGGATCTCCTCCAGGTCACCCACTACAGCTAGGCGGGCTCTGAACTCACACCAGCTGACATGCAGGATCTGGTTAGCGATGTAGCCCTGGATGACCTTCACAAAATGCTGCATCTCATGCTTAAATAGCTGCAGCTGTCGGAACTGCACTGAGCCAGCTGTGTGGCTCACTAGGGCTGGGGAAGAAGATGGAGGGTGAGTGGCAGCCTGAAGCCACACATGGGATGGACTTAGGCTAGGCCTCACCTGTGCGCTTGAGGTGGAAGCAGATGTCTTTGAGTGTCCACATCATGAGCTTCAGCTGCAGCAGGAAGGAGAAGATAGCACTGTACTTGTTCAGGCAGCTCTCGGTGATAACAATGTTGAGGGGCCAGTCAACCTGTCCAGGAAGCCCCTCTTAGTATCTGCAGCTTAGGACATGCCTCCCCTTTACACCCAGGGCAGGACACTGCTGACCTTGTACCTGAGCTCCAGGCAGCTCAGCACATCAGGGGCATTAGGGGCAAACACTTCAGGCAGGTACTTGAGGGCAAAGGACAGGTTGGTAGCATGGGGAGTGTCTCCATGGAGGCTATACTGCAGTGCCTTGCTCAGGATGCTGTTAAGGACCAATGGGTTGAGCAGCTCTCCAGGCGTCTGCCCAGCCCCTAGCTAAGGAAGTGAAGAAAAAAATGTTCCAAGGAGTCCCACATTTATGCCCTGCCCCTCCTACTTGCCCAGCAACCCAAGTTCTGCCCAAGCAGTACTATATCACCATATTGCTAGGGACTATGGCATGGCTGGCAGGACCTGAGTCCAACAGCCACCCACATCCTATCCAGGACACCTCTACTGGCCGGCCTGATCCCAACTCCACATCTTAGAGTGACCTTCTCGAAGAGCAGGTCACTAAGGGACTGGGCGAACTCTCCATCTTCCATCAGCAGGAAGTGCCGCAGTGCCTCAAAGTGTGTCTCCAGGTGCAGCTCCACAAAGAAGTAGTCAACTGCAGCTTTGTTCACCAAGGTGACACTGGTGGAGGGAAGCCGGAAGTTAGCATGGCAGGCAGGAGTTAACAGGCGGTTGCAGTTGGGCAGGTGGCAGCACTCACTGGGCAGCCAGAGGTGCCATGAGGGAGCGCTTCATAAGTACAGGCAACGTCAGCAGCTCACTTAGCTGCACCGCAGTCTCATCTAGTGCGGACTGAACTTGGGGGTCAACAGGGAAAGCAAAGGCCCGGGGAAGCATGTGGTGTACCAGATGAGCAACAGGAGGCTCTGCTGTGGGAAACAAAACAGACTTGCTGAAGCTGAACCGGCCCAGAGCACCCCCAACCCTCAGCTGCCCACTGTAGCTGGCCCACTCACACATGGATTCGTAGCTGTCCGGATACTGCTCTAGGTGGTATAACTTGGCGAGGTCTGCCAGATAGGCTTGTTCCTTGCCCCATCGTCTAGCCTCAGCCTCTGTGCCTGAGACCTCCTCACAAGGGCCCGGGCTGCTGGGAACAGCGGTCTCGTCCTTTTAAAAAGAGGCCAACCTTAAAGAACTGCATCCCTGCAAAGTACACTACTCCCTGGCCCCCACCCCTGTTTGTGCTGAAAAGAAGGAAATGGGTACATGGGAACCACACATGGTGATATTCCCTGCATGCTCCCAACCTGTGAGCTTGGAGGCAAATTTGAAGAGAGGTCTTCAGCATCCCTACTTCCTGGGCCTGGATAGACAAAAAATGGGTAGAAGGGACATTAGCACCCAGTACTTGCTTGAGGAAACAGTGAGGCTGACCCAGAGAACCCCTCCAGGAGGAACCTCCACAGCAACAACTCAATCCTGGCTGACAGACAAGGATCACAGGAGACAGCTTGACAATGCCTTGGAGGGTGCGATGGTCCCAAACTGCCCATCACTGCCCACTCTGACCTGTCTCTTCAAGGATGCCATTTCCCAGCATGCTAGGCTCAGCCACAATAGGGGGTGTGGTCTGTAGGCTGCCTTCCTCTGTGCTGCCAGGGCCAGGACAGGTGGTAGGCTTCGTTTCTTCAAGTAGTTGTGGCACACATGCTAAAGCAGAGCTCTGTGCTTCCACACTAAGGACTGACTGGGACACACAGGCAGAGGAGCACCCATGGGGTCCCAGTGGGTCAGGCTCAGCTTCTGGCAAGGGCTCCTCCAGAATCAAAGAAGGCTGAGTACATCCATGAGTCTGAGGGGCCACATTTGACATGTTCTCTCCAATCCTGATACTGGCCTCTGACACGTGTCCATGGACACTCCACCGTGGCCTAGAAGGAGCCACTTCTGACACATTCTCCCCAACCTTGATGCTAGCATCGGACACATGTCCGTGGACATTCCAGCGTGGTCTAGAAGGAGCCACTTC